AAAAAAAGAATCGTTTGAATAATCTTGACCCAAATAATCGTGATTATGGATTTTTCCATAATCAAGCAGCCCTAACTGGAGGTTCAATCGCAGAGAGTTTCGAATAATATCATCCACGCTGCCTGTTCAGCTGTTTTGTACAGATTTCAAGTTTAAAATGATATGGAGCATGGCAGCCATGTTCACAATTAATCCTGATAGCAAACTATCTGCTGCCTTTAAAAGGGAATATTTGAAGCCTTTGTTACACATCAGTCCTAGCTGTCAGCACCCTCAGTCAGCTGACTGAGTTGGAAGCAGGAAAAGGAAAAGATAAAACTGTAAATAAATAGAATAAACATGATAAACAAGATAGCCTTCCTTGAACATCCGCCATGCTTAATTTGGTCACACCCATGTGCTGAGAGACTGCTGTATTTGTTTTGCAACAAAGACTGCAACATGCATGCAGTCATTGGCTCCGTTCACACTGCAAAGCTTTTCGCTCAGTTCAGATTTTTTCCTCAGGTCTTGTTTTTGTTTGGTTGTTTACATTATTTTTTAAACGTGGCCCATATCATATTCCAGTGTGAACAGATCACAGTCCTGAGGTGACCCTAATGACGAACGTACATATAGAGTGTAGAGTATGCAACACAGTAAGTGTCCATCATATATATACCAACTCAGCCCCACTGAAAAAATATAAAAAATTTGGTTTACAGTAAATATTTTCTAAAAAGACACTATTATTGCAGGGTTAGCAGGGTTAGTGCATTAACAATAACGTTATGAGCCAGAATCTCTTTTATTGGCCAGGTATGTGCACACATATACATATATAAACAATGTATATGGTCCTTTTAAAATAGCGTTTTACAAACAAAGAATAAAAAAGAAAATATAATTAGAAATATAAAAGATGAAAGAAGAAAACAAGTTCAAGGGACAGCAAAGGCTCAGCAGTAGTCGAGGATCCAGGGTTTGTCTTTCGATGCTCAGGTGACTAAAACGCGTGCAGTTCTGCTTTGTCCCAATAAGACCTTTCAGTGACAAAAGATGTTTTCTGTTGATAAATGATCTCTGGAGAAATAATGAGATAAATTAACCTGGTATATAAAACAAACTTTGTTATCTCAAGATAATGAGTAATAATGCAATTACTAAACAACTACTAATATTTTGAATGTCACAACATATCATCATAATTTATTTAACTTAAATGTGTCAATGATTAAGACATGTACTTTAAATGTAAGTAAGGTGCCAGAAAACCCCTCAAAATAGAGCTTGTTTATTAAAACAGAATGCCTCCTCCCTCAGGCCCCCCTACAGAGCTCTGGGCTAAGACAGTTTTCTGTTAGGGGGTTGAGATTGTATTTTTATGTTGGTGTTTTTATAATAAGTTGTGGTATGACTGAAACAGTCTGCATTCACACCGTTTGGGGAAGTGAAAGAACAGACAAACAGCTTGCCATCTTGCTATGTTGTGTTTCAGAATCTGGCGTTGATCGTGCTGGGCATCGGCGCTGTTTTCTCCTTCTTCTTCCACCTGGGAACCACAGAGAGTAGTGCTGGAGCGGGAGCGGGGGCTGGAGGAGAGGAGGGGAGAAGGGAGATGGAGGAGGAAGAGGAGGAGGAGGAGGAGGGGGAGCGGAGACCCCTGCTTCCTCGCCCTCAGATCTCCTCGTCTCTTCTACAGTGGAAATGTTGGCTGCAGCAGCCCTCTTTTTACCAGGTAGGGAGATTCTACCACGTACAACCAGATCTGACTCTCTGGTATCAGTACCAACAAGCCTGACTGAAACTTCACCTGAAGCTACTCAGCTAGTAATTGCTCTTTTGCAATTAGCGCTTCCTATTTCAGAAGCTTTACAGTTGCAACATTTTGTGTTTTTCCTTGCTTGTATCAAAGCTGGCTGACAGATCTGTGTGTTACTGTGTATCTCTGCAGGTGGCCTTACTCTACATGTCCACCAGGTTAATAGTCAATCTGTCTCAGACCTACATCTCAATGTATCTCATCAACACTCTGGGTCTGCCCAAGGTAACACACAAAATCAGAATCATTCTTTTTCATCATCAGTTTATATTCTGTTTCAGAGCAACCTTTAGCAGCCTTTCTTCATTGTTTGGTCATTCTGTTTGACTTTCTCCCTCCAACAGAAGTTCATTGCAACAATCCCATTAGTGATGTACATGAGTGGATTCCTGTCCTCCTTCATCATGAAACCTCTCAGTAAACAAATTGGAAAATGTGTAAGTGCAACCTCACACCTCGGCCTGGCTCCTGTATTCTTTATTTGATTTCAGACCAAAACAATGGGACAGAAACTAAATAAAATTCACCAAAACAGTCTTTGTTAGTCTTTCCAGTGTTCCAACAATCACCAATGCTGGTTTGGTCGAAATAAACCTTCAATAGATGAGTTAGATGTTAAAATGTTCATGAAAAGGGCTGCAATGGGTGCAGTGTAAGCTAATATTAATCCTTGGGGACAAATGCGCTAGTACATAGATAATAAAAACAGCAGTTTCAGTTGCTCTACTCAGCTGTACACGGAGCACATCGGCTTTTATTACATGTTATTATTACAATTGTAATAAACTAAACAAGTTTGAAATACACCAGAATTGCTATCTAACAGCCCCTCATACTCGTGGAGGAGTGTGTCTCCTTTTTTACCACACTTATCTTCATCATCCAACACTGGCTTTAAAAATGTACCACAGTGAGGCATCATTTAATCATCCTATGACAATATATAATATGCCTAATTAAGATATATAGTGACTGTGTCAAAAACCTTTGAGGCCCCTTGTTTGCTCATGCTTCAGTAATACTGCAGATGAAATTTGATCAAACCACCCCCACACAGACCTGATGAAGCACATTCACTAGGGTTTTGACTGCTGTTGACTTTATACATAACATCTCAAATCGTTTTCAAAACTTTCATTGCCGCTTTTTTATTTATGATGGATATTTAATCTTATAAAGATATTTAACTTTGGCCTCAGAAATGACCACAGATAAATGATATGAGCTGAGAGCTCTGATTACACGAGCAGAACTGAAAAGCTGACTGAATGCAGAGTAAACAACAGTGGAGTGTGTTGAATATCAGAATGTGATGGTCTGATTCTGTATCTACGCTGATGAGAAGAGGAAGTATCTAAGCCATTGTCTCTCTTCCGATTGGTCCAGCTCACCTACTTCGTGGGCCTGCTGCTGATTCTGGCCTTCTCCTACTGGGTGCTGCTGGATGACCAGATGGGTCAGCGGGTGTACGGGGCTGCTGTGCTGCTGGGGGCGGGGTCGGCCACTATCCTGGTCATATCGCTCGCCATGACCGCCGAGCTCATCGCCGATCAGACGGTTAGCTGTGTGTGAGAGAGAGAGAGAGGAGATGCGAGAGAGAGGGAGGTGTGATGTAACCTCCATCCACTATCTTCATCTTCATCTGTCTGTCTGTCTGTCTGTCTGTCTGTCTCTCTCTGCAGCAAAGTGGAGCGTTTGTGTACGGAGCCATGAGTTTCACTGATAAGTTGGCTAACGGAGTGGCTGTGATGATCATTCAGGCCCTGCATCCTTGCCAGTTAGTACACACACACACACAC